ATCTCAAGCAAGATTGATACAAACATGTCATAGCAATACAGCTCCTACAAACAGGTAAACATACCCTGTCTAATACAGAGGTGGAAAATCCAATTTAATATTGAATTTTCTATACAAATATTGACCCACTGGAGCTTGTGAGCCATACATAGTGGATCAGTAGAGCCTGTGTGTGTGTAGGTGTGTATGGTTTAAACCACTATGTCTAGTATACTTTGACCAATATACCCAAGTGACAGTGACCACATCTACCTATTTATTTTCTAAACTACTAACTAATATTTAGATATCTAACACACTTGTGATTTTATTCTATACTTTCATACAGACACATATGAACTAATGAAGGCATGACATATTTCAGGAATAAATGTTACACACCTGTGACTTAATTAACTGAAATTTGTTACTTGGTTATCTTGCAAAGTAATAACTAGTTCCTAGTAGGGGACTCCAACCTCCACCCTCCAGTTCGCGGTTAAGGACTACGACCTCCACCTTCTAGTTCCTAGTAGGGGACTACAACCTCCACCCTTAGTTCCTAGTGGGGGACTACAACCTCCACCTTCTAGTTCCTAGTGGAGGACTACAACCTCCACCTTCCAGTTCGTGGTTAAGAACTACGATCTCCACCTTCTAGTTCCTAGTAGGGGACTTCAACCTCCACCTTCTAGTTCCTAGTGGAGGACTACAACCTCCACCCTCCAGTTCGCGGTTAAGAACTACGACCTCAACCTTCTAGTTCCTAGTAGGGGACTTCAACCTCCACCCTTAGTTCCTAGTAGGGGACTACAACCTCCACCTTCTAGTTCCTAGTGGAGGACTACAACCTCCACCCTCCAGTTCCCTGTGGGAATTCTACAACCTTAACCCTCCAGTTCCTTGTGGGATTCTACAACCTCAACCCTCCAGTTCCTGGTGGGGGAATAAGAAACATCACACAAAGTAACAATTCAGGGTTTACCTTTGTATAACAACTGCTATCACTGTATACCACAATTAATCAGTTTGAAAAGACAATTGGATTGATGTAAGGAGAGTATTAGATTGGGATATAATCTTTTTTAAAAAGAAAACTTTAATTTAATTTAATTGTTAGACATAGATTTCAGAATTTAATTTAAACTACCTGAGTTAAGGTAGCAACAGGATCAATGATCAATTTTGAAGCTACTGTGGATAATGATTTTAATGTAGAACCAACAGCTAGACTTATATGTATCATGAAAAGCAGCAGACAGATGATTCGGCAGTGAAATTGTGAAGAACCTATCAATTCAACCAGACCATAACAGAAACTTCTCTCTCCTAAACAAATCCTGAACAAATCAACATCAATATAAAGACATTGCATTAATAGTCTCATCTGCTGAAAGGCCATATTAATGGACGTTAAGCAAGTTAAATGAATAAAATAAATGAATAAAGTAACAGTGGTATGTGTTACTCAATAAGAACTTAACAATTTGAACAAAGATACACATAATCTATAAGGGTAAAAAATACCCAATTTTGATGTCAATGCTTGGGTAACTTGTACAGGACTAACACTTTAATCTGTAAGCAAATGTCACAACTGTTTTAATGTACGTAATGAATCAATAAAATCAATCAGGAGGAAACAAACAGCAGGGAGATGAGAAAGCCACTAAGCCAGCTAGCCATTCAATCGATGGCTTCTCTCCATCCACCACACCAAAACCTCATACTGGAAGACAGTGTTTTAACAAGATCCAATTTTGTGAGGACTCGGTGGAAATCTGTATTGATTATTAGAAGACAAGCCTTGCTGATTTACGAGCACCTATCAGAGGAGCACCTATAAGCTATATAGGTATACACCTCTATGGTATCTGCAATTTATGTTCAGAAACATTTACCTTACCTCATGAACTACCAGTTTCTTTCTATACATTCCCCATAATTTACAATTATGTTCAAACACGTTCCCCATAATATGACAATATTATGTCCCTACAATACAAAAAAAAAAAAAAAAAAATCAACATAATGTCCATAAATACTCCCAATAATTTATCACTCTGTCCCTTCACACTTTCCATAATTCACCATGATGTCCCTACCCTCATCTCATAACTTAACAGTATATCCCTATACAAAATTCAAAATTCTTCTCTGTGTCCCTACACATTCCCCATAACCCAGTGCTGTACCTACTCTCACCCCGTAACTTACCAGTACGTCCCTACATAATTCTCATAACTAACTATTACCAGTACGTTCCTACACAATCCTCATAACTAACCAATGTGTCCTTACTCTCACCCCATCAGTCACCAGTAAGTCCCTACATAATCCTCATTACTTACCTCTGTGTCTCTACACACTCCCCCCTCCCCCCCCCACCCCCCCCGTCACTCACCACTATGTCCCTACACATTCCCCATAACCCAGTACTGTACCTACTCTCACCCCTTAACTTACCAGTATGTTCCTACATAATCCTCATAACTAACTATTCCCAGTACTTCCCTACACAATCCTCATTTCTCACCTCTGTGTCCCTACACACTTCCCCTGTAACTCACAACTATGTTCCTACACAATCCTCATAGCTAACCACTGTGTCCCTACACAATGCCATACCTTAGCTACCACTATGTCCCCTACTGGAACAAAGTCAATTTGTTACCAATACATTAGAAAAAAAAATCCACAATATCCTGTCAAGTCTGTCGTCGTTTCTTACAAAAATAGTTGTTACAAATTGGCATACAATATCCTGTCAAGTACATCCCGATTCATTTCAACAAGAGGCCCATGGGCCTTAACCGTCATCTGACTACAAAAACTCTCCACAAGGAGAAGAGTTATTTTTTCTACTTTGAATGAAATCTTACTAAGAAGCTGTTTTCCATGATGCAGATGGTAGTGTTCGTGAGGAGTAGATAACTGTAACAAGTGTTACCTATTTTTGGACACTAAAGCTTGAGCTCACTCCCACTGGTGAAACCTGAGAAGTTTGAAATAGGTATTGCACAGGAAAACCATGATTTGCCCAATCATGTTACAAGATGGTCTCCCTGACTGCCGTATCAAAGTTTTGACAAGGTAAAAAAATAACAACGCTTTATTGGCTACCTTTCCTTAACAAATTTTTAGCTCAATGGCAATGGTGGAACTGGAGAAGAAGTTAAAAGTATGTTTTTCAAGATGGCAGCCATGGCGGCCATGTTGGATTTCAGACTGATCTGAAAAATAACAACACTTGGTCAAGACCATCTCAGGATCATTTCATGCAAGTACGAGCTGGTGGAACTTGAGAAGAAGTTTTAAATGTCAAAAGATTACGCACTGCGTTCGACGACGGATGAAGCACAGGTCAGATGACCTAAAAATAGTAATCATGTTATCTATTTTACCTTATCCCAGAAACATACATCTACCCAGGAGATAACTGTTGTTACATCAAGCATCACAAATTTTCTCAATATAAATACCATGTGTTTAAGGAGCCAAATTCAACCACATCATTTGTTGTACAAAACAGCCAGATTCAAACACATTGAAATTAGTTACTAAAAGAAATATTCAGACAGTGCCATCAAATGTCTGCTGAAAAGGTCATGTCAGACTTGTGCAGAATGACTTTTTGTTATTACAATTAAGTATATCAAATTAAGTTCATCCTAACTAAATACCTGGGTATGTGAAATTGTTATTTAGGGTATACAAAAGTTAATAAGACATTTGTTCCTGATCAATAGATCATAAAGATATCAACTGCTATGTAAATGTAGATGTTCTTGCTACAGGACCATCTTTCCAATTAGTTTTGTTGTCAGTATTATATGTTTTTTTGACATATTTGTTCAGATGCCTATAACACTTCAAGCTGAAGTCTCGAGCAAATTATTTTGTTCTACATAAAGAAACAACAACACAAGACAAGATTTTTTTATATTCTATGAAGGCCTGAATCTATTTTGAATTTTTGACTCTATAACCCAAAGCACAATAAATTCTATTTTTGCCTAACTTAACAGAACTCCACTATTTAAACAGAGCAGATTTCCAATGTGATGTTTGATCAAACATGAGATAACTGTTTTTGATGTTTTTACATACACTCCATAGTCTCAATTTCAACTGCAGATACTTCTGTAAAGAAGCTCTAAGAATGAATAAAGTTATTTATTCAGAGTTACAATAAAAAGTACCTTGCTAACCTCGTAATCCAAGCAAGCTTTTTTTGGCAAGGGAGCCCACTTGAGGCTGGAGTGTGATTCAACCAAAACAAAACTCCAATGATTGGACTAAAATGAATCTGGCCAGTAGTTGTGTGGGAGACGTAAATAATGATAGGAAACTAGACATTTTTATAGGACTTCTTTGTGGTAATGTGAAATCAATGCTACATGAAAGCAGAGCTGGAGTTACAAATGAAAAACTTGGTAAATCTTCAGATGCTTTACATTTTGTTTTGCTAACTCAGTAGACCTTATAATTATATAGTACCTGATATGAGCTATATTACCATAAATATATTGTGGACTCTGAAATTAATTTGGAATCCTTATGAATGCAGTTTTTCAAAAGACATTTGAAAGATAAAGTTGTGTTCAGGTATCATTATAATGCATAACAATATTAATAGCACAGTTTGTAACTGAAGTCTCACAAATGATAAAAGTATACTCAATGAACAGCAGGGAATTACATGTAAATTTTATAGCTACCTGCAAATACTAAAATAGAACCATTGTTGGCGGTCCAACATGCTACCTAGGAACAATACCTTACTGGAGAACATTTTTAGCTGAATCCTGGCCATTTAAATTCCTGACCCCATATGTCAAGCTTTTTCCTTGCCATGAACAATCATCACATCGGTATCAATACCTGTTTGTGTGTTTCAAACTGCCTGAGACAAAGAAATGATTCATACGTGTGTAACATAGAGCAGGTCTTAACAAATTGGGAATTATCATTTGGCCATGAATAAAGGAATGTCAGGGACTAAGTAAATGGTAACTTACAGGTTCGTCTGAAGACAATATGTCAGCTCCTCCGTGTCTACACGTCAGAAATCCGAGCAATATCTGTAAAAAACATTACACAATGAATGATAATGAAATATTTATAAACATATAACTGAACATTAGTGACTATAATAGCATCATCTGTATACTCAAAATATCGCTCAACAGTAATGACAAAGTGTGGTTTTATGCAAATCTCAACATGTGCTTGGGAAACATTTTTAAAAACATGAATTATTAACATACATTCACATCAATATCATGCAGATTTTGTATGATCAAATCAATACTCTGATTCAATAATTTCAAAGCATTATTTATACATATACATTTGTACGTGTAAACTATAACATTTACCTTTGATAGTTTAACATCACAATCTTTGTTTTATACAGATGCAATGAAAAATATGTGAAAATAAACAAAAGTATAGTGTAGTATCATTTAACTTATCCTCTACCCAAGCATTGTATGATCTAGTGGCTGTAACAAGAGCTTGAGTGACCTGGATCTGAACAAAGAACTTACATAGAACACATCAAAAGTCACAAAAAAGATGGCATCATGAGAACTCATATGAACACATATGTACATACTTTTCCACATGAAAGATGCCCTAGAATTTATGGTACCATCAATGAGATTTGAAACAGAATCACTTGGGCAACTCCTCAAGATATTGTAAAGTATTAGCATCACTTTGAAATAACACAACACCTCAATACCTGAATTGTTGTAAGACTTCACCGTGATAAAAATATATTATACAGTCAGTACATTTACTGTATACCATTCAAAAACTAGTACAGCTTTTTTTCAGGAATTACTTCAATTTACAAAGATACAACACACTGTGCCAAGTTTATAAATGGAGAACAAGAGATTTAATGTATCCCCAAGTACATTATGAAATGATATTTAACACATCAGACATCTCCAATATACCCAGCAAGACCTACAACAAACAAGAGGTCCCTTAAAAAGATCCATCTTTGATCATTGGTACAAACTCCCACTAGCGTGATGCCCTAGAAAGGTACTTCAGGTATTTGAGCACTTACGATGAAAACATAGGTTAGGTTGGTATAATTGTTTCCATCTTCCAGCAAATAAGAAATTTCTGAAAATGATATATTTGTAAGATATCATCCCTGAATACCAATCAGAGATTACATATAGTGTCAGAAGGAAAGAATCTAAGCAAAACCTTAAATTGCACATTAACACAAGCACTATATGACACCAAGGCTATGAATGCAACATCTACCTACATGGTATGACAAGAGCATTTACAAAAGTTTGACCTTGGTAAAGTTCGAAGAATGTACCTAGCAAGCACACCAATGTATACCATAATAATGAGAGAGATAGAGGTAAATGTATGAAGATGCATAGTCACACTCATTTTAATAGCAGCAGTAGTAATTTATTCTGCATGTAAAACAGCATGTCTAGCCTGCAATCTTACCGATTCTTAGTTTAAACAAGAACATACCTATCAATGTAAAAACTATATTTACTTGATGAACTACCAAATATACTGAACATCATTCAATCACATGCACTGGTATTTTTGAATGTCTTATCACATATTAATACCTGCAAATTAATATCTTTTAATAATATATATGTGTACATAATGCATCTTGCCTGAGCAATTTAAAATGTATCAAAGTCACACAATGCCAGATCTTTATGATTCACTTTAATATAGTAAAAGATGACACAACAAGTTACCTAAACCACAGACATAAGCTATATTAAAAGAAACAAAATTTTAAGATGTGCTCATTATGTGAACTATATTTCAATTGGTCCTCATTAGCATTTCTCTGCAGGGTCCCTTCATGCATAAGTCTACACATGCTTGTGTACATGAAAAGATGTTTGTCTATAACAATTCCTGCAAGTCTATAGTGACAACATATTTTGTTTTTACGTCCATGTGATCACAATTGATTCTATCTGTTATTTGTTGTATGAATCCATGTCAGCAAATTAAAGGTATATATCAAGGACACCTGACTGACAAGTATACACTTCGCTTTATACATTTTGAACAAATTTATTCAATATTGATTGCACCGCTATTTAATACATATAACTCTGTGAAATCTGACAAATACAATGAACAAACTTCCACAACCTATTGTTATAGCTATACAAACCCTGTCATATGACACTCCACTAACTTGCATCATTCTTAACATGATCTTGCTTTTTGTTCATTTAATTCATGACAACAGAAAAAAGAAAAATTTTGACTAAATTGTAATGGACATTAAAATGGGATTATTAAAAGACATGGGCTTATTGGTGAATACTTACATTACAATTTACTATGAATTTAACACCCTTTGCTCCACATCCTAATCCTATTTATACTAAAAAGTGACCACAAAAAGACCTTCCTGGGGGTGGTTAGACTGGTAACTTAAATTTTTACACATTATCATTAAAATTTTTACCCACATTAGATTTCCCTGACTGTAACATTTTGCAAGATATTGATTCTTTCAACTCAAATATTTAATTATATTACCTATCAAGAAGTTCCTTCACACCAACTGATCACACGTAGTCAGGGACTTTTAAGGCAGGTACGTCCCTGTTGTATTGTACATTATCCACCAACAAGTGAATTTATATTTTCTCTCTGCCAAGACTGTAACTGTTACTTGTGGAAGACCAGGTGAAATATTACACCAAAAAGTGTGACAGTAAAAATTGACATGGCTCGCCAACTACTGTAATTTTACCTGTAGGCAGTTACTGATGGTCCATGTAAAGACCTGTCCAAGATTGATGAGGCAGGTACACCAGACACCTGTCAATCATCACATCCATTGAGTAATGTGATCAAACATATCAGTATGCAGGAGAGGTATAAATACTAACCTTGTATATTACCTACTGCCAGATATTTTCAGTCAAAGCTAATTATATAAAGTTACATGTGAAAATTGTTACTGTTTACAACCTGAGGCACAATGCCGAAAATCATTGCATACAATATATATGCATACATGTCTACAACAATGGCTCCGAGGTGTCACAGATGACAGCACAAGATCTCCATCATAATCCTCTAGTGATCAGGCTATTCTCAGCACTTTTTATTTGTGCATCATAAAAAATACAGGCACTAGACATAAAATAAGACCTTGACCTACTGTTTACTAATTAAACCGTCTGACATGTAGTCCGGTCCAGGAGTCGGACATATAGTAAATAGATATTTAACAACTGTATAAGTGACATAGACATCATGAACTTGTCTTACTAAGCCATCATAACCTTGTCAAAAGAAAGAAAATGATGAAAATGTGTGTACCATGACTAAAAGATGCAAATGCTTTAAACCATAAACCTACAAATTTGCATATCACTCACTCTAAGCTTGATTCAAGAGGAAAATCTTGCAAACTGCAATCCTCAACCTTGTAATGAAGCTTAAATTTTGTATCTAGTTTGTTGGAAGCAATGACGAAGTTCTTGTAATTCCATTTCACTGATTATTACCTGTATTACCTCATCTCTTTAGTAGTATCCATCTTAACCTGAATTTTACAGCAGCCTGTGCCTGTATAAGATGGTAAAATCTAGTGTTGTGTCTCTTTTTTATTTTTGAATCTTGAAGACACTTTTGATTGTATATTCACTATGGAAACTGAAAACGGAAATAAATTTCACAGATACAAATTATTTTGGAACTTCTTGTTTGCAGCAGATGATGCAGAACCATGTACAAATATCAAACCTTATCTTCGATTTGATGAAAATTTGCTATAGCCAGAGAAAAGATTGGCACAGTCATTTTGTACATCTGTATGTCACAATGCAAATCTCCAATTCCATTTCATTGCATTTTTAAGAGAGAGTATTTTAATAGTTATTATGATCCTATTACTGTAATTGAGGCCACTGATTTGTAAATGAGGAATGATGTGATAAAAATGAAGCAATCAAGATTTATCTAATAACTTCTCTGTAATATTAATATGAAAATGTCAAACAGAAATGGGAAAGCACCACTGCGGGAACTAAAATTTTTATTGTCACTACGATGTATATAGTGAACAGAAAATCTGCAATCAAATTGATCTCCCACCCAGGGATCGGTATCTGATCACAAGCTTGTCATATGAAATATGCATTACAACATAATCAATATGCACATCATTTATTCATAAAAATGGGTGTGTACACAATTATTTAATAATTTAGATGACTTTAAGACAATGTCACATGGATTTTCAGCATCTAAAATCATCCGAGTCAGCAGGTTTTCATTTTAACATGATTTCATTAGTACTGTAAAACTGAATCCATTGACATTTCTGTACCTTACATCAATACAGTAGCTCAACAGCTTTAAAGCTCCTAATAATCCATTTTTAGCAATCTACAATTCCTGCTTTCATCAAATATTTACAGTCCATTTCTAACACCCCCAACAGTTAGCATGCAAGCATATACCAATACACATAACTCAAGTCTATAAGGACCACAACACACCTTAGGTTGACCTCTGTGAGAACCCACAATGGTACACATATATTGTGCTTATATATATTCATCTATTTCACAGTAGAATAAATTCTCATTGTATGGAAAACTGATATCTGTAGGTCTACATGAATTCAATTGGTCTACACTGTGTTTGTTGGGAAAGCATTGGTACAATAAATATTGACACTTTCAGCAGTAATTACTGTACCTGGAAAAAAGTATTAATTGAACATAGCAATTACTTAAAAATACTAAATGAGTACTGATGATTTTTTGAATCAACACCTAATGCCTGGCTGCTGGTGTCAATACATATGCTGGACTATGATTGTGTTAAATCTGTCAAGCCATAACAGTAAGAATTTCCTCTCATCTCTACCTATGTTATACTGGTCTGTCCAGGGCAATATACCCAGGTTCGCTGTTCTTGTACTACTCACCTATATGCAATACAGGCTTGTACGCTTAGAAATGTGAAGTGTCCTTTCCCAATTGACATCACTGCCTGATACAATGTAACACACTTGTGTACAAATAGTTATTTTTCAGTGACTGTATATATTTTGTTTTAATATTCTAGGCAATCTTTGTTTGCAAAATCTAGGTACCAAGCATTCATTTTCTATGTCATCTTGTTGATTAATTGCATAATAAAATCATACAAATTTTGTGTAATATGGTGTACTTGGTAGTACTATTTTGACATCTGAAGCTAATGTTTTTTCAGTAATTTTGAATGAGGGAAAAATACCCTTGCCAAAGCCTCTGGTTTTATCACATTTTGTGACCACTCAGGTGGAATATCCCTATCCTATACCCTGACACATGAAGACTTTTGTAGATGTTCAACATCTGGGTAATACAAAACTGAATAGCACAATATAGTATGGGTGCTATCACTGAGACAATTTGTAAAATAAGCTACTTGATTAGCAACAGCAATCCTTACAATATATTTACTGTGTGACGTGAAGGTATAAATGTGAACGTTAGCATGTATTATCAATTTCATGTTGATTTCTATTTAAAATTATGTTGTTTTTTCTTGAAAGAAAATGTTCTATTTTAAGATGAAAATGCATCTTTTCAGCTAAACTTCTGTTTAACTTTTTGTTGTGTTTGTCTGGTAAAAATATTGTGTCATCAATTGTATATGGCCATGAACATGAAAACATCAATATAACCCACAACAAATGAATTAAAGTCTTAATGAATCAAAGTTTTTTGGTAGTCGCATGATATATCGAGGTTTGACTGTACCTGGTAAACAATTCAGCAAAAAATTATCAACAATTTGAAAATATTCAGACAAACAAGTTGTTTATTGACAGTTTTACCTGGCTTACCAAGGCTTTAATATACAAAAGGAAATTAAAATGATATCAGGAAGTAGATTTAACATGCATGCCATTACTATGTGAAGTTATGTAAACAGCTAATATAAGTTGAACCTTTAATCCTAGTATTAAGACTTGTAAAGGACAGGTGTGAACTATGTACAAGATCTATGTAACTTGGCTTTGATCATCAAAGAAAAGCCTGTACATGAATCTCAACAGGATATAGCTCATTCCACTGATTGTACCCTTCAATAGGCAAGTCTGTGTATTGGTATATACCTGAAGTAGAATATGTATTTATTGACACGACAATAGATCATTGAATGATACCACTTCAAAATTATATTGCTTGTTATGAGCTAATGAACCTTCAGACTAGCATCAGAACCTGAAGATCTATCAACCAGATTTAGGAATTACTTTGTTCAGAATTTTATTGCAATCACTTCGTGAAATACCAGCTGATGTACCATTTATGTGATGCAACATATCATTCAATAGGATGGAGAAAAGTTGCTTCTTAGAAGCTAGTATACCAGTATATTGCTATATTCTATTATTTTACAGCATAAAAACTGAAACAATGTTGTGGTTACAGATCTCATCAGAAAAACTGTCATTACCACAATCACAATTCATCTCATACAACATAGCAATCCTTGTTCTTTTATTGCTTTCAACACTTTCTCCAAACATGCTATTAAGCTCATAATCATAAACTTGATTTACTATATCATTGACTTATCCTTATACCTGGAGGGGTAAAGAATGTCATTCCATCCAAAACTGTCAGTAAGAAATCACAATAATGTATCCTGATATGCTCGAGGGACTAACTGTTTGATGTGAACAATCTAAGATTGACAGATTCATACAATTCAACAAAATTAATGGAACAAGATTTTCTTATAAGCATAGATAATTAGAACATTTTAGTAAATAGCACTTCTTGGTAAGAGAAATATTCTAATCTGCTTCACATATTACTGTAAATTTATGTATTGTTTTTGAAAATTGATATCAAGACATACTCGGATATAACACCATTTTTGTACTAATTTTGAGAATTTCAAAACTTTACTTAATTCCACAACATGTCTAAATTTTAAAAATGAATGTCTGCCGTAATTATGGATTTTTTTGTGTGAGGGAATACATGTTTACTCATGAATTTTACCAGTAATACGAAAAAGGATAAATTATAGATCTATCAATATTTCTATGACTGTATTGACTGCAGATCAAATACTCCACTTACCAATGGTCATATATGTCATAACATGTAAGTAACCAGATGGACAGATGTGAGGTGTAATGTTATTGCATATGAAATACTTCGCTAAAAATAAATTTAATTGTAATAACAACATACAGGCTTACAATAGACATACTCTGTATATTGTTTCCTGTACAAGTACGGTTAACATAAGACATCGACAAGCCTTCTGTATAGCCAACAACTGTCTACCACACGTAACATAATGTATGTTACCAATAAGGGCTATAAATAGATCACAAGTATGTACATAGTAGTAGGTGTGTATTAGAAAGTTATCAGCATATAAAATGTCAAGAAACCGGAAACATTTTCAATATACAACTTGAGCATTACTTGGATGTTTAACAGTAAACACGGTCTTACTATATCCGAAAAATAAACTTACCCACAGGGAAACTAACCAAGCAAATCCTCTCTACCGCCCTGACAGTTTACCGGGCTAGCTTATAGCTTATATCGGCGTTCCATACACCGTGTGTATCTAAATTTGGCTCTGGACCGTCGGTCGCAAAACAAGGTCCCGGCACACGTATTTTCACGATACTTTTACAAATTAAAATAATTCAGCATACAGTTTTGACCTATGTCATTATATCTATTAATCGGATTAGTTATAATAGAATGCCAAACGCTAAATGTTACACAAATTATAATTATCTTTCAGTAAACATGCATATTTTTCAGGCCATGGCAGCCATTTTGGATTCTATGTTTCACTTGCATTACACCGGAGAGGTGTTTTAAGACACGAATGCAATGTTTTAGCGCTTGAAGATTGTTACACTAAACAGAAGAACACCAGTATATCTTGACCTGCACACTTGCGTGTGCAATAAGTGACATAACACAGTACTTACACGAGATCACTAGCCGTGTTTTCCCTTCCTCGGTATTCCACTTGATGTAAAAACGAACCTGATTGGCTAAAGGATTTTCCATCGTCGTCGCCTAAGAGATTTTGACGTCATTGTTCGTCTACCCGCTTGACTCATTCTACTCAAAGTTATCGGAGTGACTGGAATATATATTGCCGGTCTCAAGTTACAAAGCGGATGGATACCTAAAACATTTCACATAAAATTTTACATCACAAAATATGGCAATCACTCTTTTTGATGGGGAAGTACTAACATTCCACCTTTTTTTGTTGTATAATCGAGATATTTCGCAATAATTCTACATTAAATGGTTTCGCTTTAACATTTGAGAAAATGAAACCAATACTTTTCTAAAAGTTGTTGCGAAATATCCTGCCAAGAAAAAGAATCTCTTATGTATAAATGACTACTTAATAGTTGATTACTTGGTCTAATATTACTGTTTTAATAAAAGTTTGTATTTGAAACAAGGAGTTACCTTGTACGCCTATCTCTTTTAAAATGCGTGTGTAAACGACATAATCATTAACAATCAGATCATTTGAATTAAAACAAGACTACAATATAGCATTTTGAACTCAACACGATTGGAATCGATCAGAATGGTCATTGTGACTGAATCACCTCGCTAAACAAGCGTAGCCTAGAACGTGTTAAGATAATACCGAGACCAGGATTATCTTTATATACATTTATAATTCAGTGGTATGCATTACCGAAAACGCTTGTCATAGGCCTATGTGAAACTTAATTGAGTTATTCGAACAAATATTTCATAATTTGTGACGTCATAAACAATGACATCACAACAACGTTACCTCATTTGATCTATATATTGACGTCAAAATTAAAGACAGATGGAACATCTAGTCCGACTAAGGACGTGATTTGCGCAATTTACATATATATATAGTATGTCTTTAGGATCTCATTTCAGACTGCAATCCTTATACAGCATTTAATCCTCGATAAAGTAAATGGAATTGAACTGATTATTCAAACTCCTTGTATAAATGGTAACTGCACGTCTTATATGGAAGAAAATAATGGCTTTTGACTGTAACGGTATTAGCGCGCTTCCCAGCCTAAATAACACTCCTTGTTGCATTTCACAATAACAGAATGAATCGATTTGTATATTTTTCATTCCTTATGTAAATCCATGCGGTCAACTTATTATCACCTCTTTGCTTGTACTTGAAACAACTGCCATTTTTATTTACGCTTTATAATTCATTAGTAAGTAATAGACGTCATTGTTGTGAAAAATTGACGAACATTAATTCAATTATAAATAGATCTCATTTATCTATATATAGCTCATACAAGTGGTATGTGAATGTATAGCCGTTTTATAAGAATGCTTAAAGTGATGACGTAAGTATACTGTGTGGGGGTCACAGATGACGCGTCCGAGGAAGTGGAGGCGTCCCGTCACGCGATCACACGTGCACTTGACGCAAGCATATGGTGTCCACTTGAAATGTAATTGTTTTGTCTTTAAACATAGTCAAAAATACATACACAATAAATATTTATGAATCACTTTAATAAAAAATATCTTTCTATTATTTAAAGAAAAAATATCAATCTATTATGCAGATCTAGACAATCTTTACTTCGAAATGTTTCCTGCATTTGAACAAAATTGTCAATAAAACGTGCTCAAGTTTTGATCGAGTTTCAAGATTTTGTCTGGATGAAATTTCAAAATCAATTATTTATCAAACATACAGAACGAACTGACCCGTCTAATACACAGATAATTGTATATCTTTTCAGCCAAGGACGACAATTTCATTACTGGGCCTATGCATTTCAGCCCGAGAGAATATTTAATGGATATTTAAAAAAAATGTTTTTAAAAATCCAAAAGTTTAGATAACAAAGACACACAGATGTCTTTCTACACGTTTCACCGACTTCACTCTGCAATCTGTTCATAACCTGCATATAGTTTGTTTCACAATGACTAGACGTATGCATATATCATGCGATATATACACGAACCACGGATTCTGTGCAACGCCCCTGTGGTTTGGCTGTGGTCTTTTATCCTCAAAATAGTTCAATTAATTTCAACGGTTAATGTGGACAATCGGGAACATTAAAAGTGTTATCAACCAGAAATGTACCATGCATGCACAGCCTATGCAGCATGACGCCCCCATCGGCGCACATAAGGGACTTTGTTTAAGGCGTGTAACCGTCTTTATCTTACCAACAGCCCCCACCTCGGGGTCATGGGTTTGAGGCCGACATGGGGCTGTCACCAAATGTTGACCACAGGTCGGTGGTTTTTCTCCGGCAGTTCCAGCTTTCCTCCACCATTCAGACCTGACACAGACCTGACACGTGAATCATATTTTGTAGCATAGAATATTTGAAAGTTTGCAAAGATGGTGAAAATCTATATAAAATATAAAGAGCATTTCATAGTCAAAGAGAAGGACAAATGTACGACTACTTTAAAAATAAAAATTAACAATATTTGAGATGTTTAACCATGAGTAATTAGGATTTACAATAACATACACAGAACAATAGTACGACTACTTTAACTTTAAATCACGAATTATTAATTATCATTTGCTAATAAATACAATATTTGAGATGTTTAGATATGAGTAATTAGGATTTGCAATGATATAAACTGAAAGATTATTTAAAGCTGTATTTGACACTGATTCATTGAAAATAAAATCACGGACTTTTAAGATATCTGGGTGTTTAATATAGTCCATTCTGAATGTGGTGTGTAAAAATAAAATTACTTTTTCATGAGTGCATTTTACTCAACTTTTGTTTATCTCGCTGAAAACGTCTACACCGCCTCATTTTAGACGTCAGGTAAACAATATTGAAATCAGCTAAACGTTGTATAACGCATATGACTTATGACGTACGATGTAAACACATATTACACTTACCACGAATACCAATTAATTATGCTTTGGTATACTTCTAGAGTAAAGAAAGCAAGCAAACAGCATAACTGCCGCATACACAATATTGGTACACATTGATGTACTTCTCACGACTGACGTAAATATGTTCCTTTTGAGATAAAATGTTAACGAATCTTTTATTTTGGAGAGGATTTTATTACCGCTATAACTGCCATGTAACGTCACAAATTACGTGTTTTAATTTTGACAACAATTGCTGGCAAGAATAAGTTCCACTTACAACTTTAATCACAATAAGATAAGGAATAGAGCGGTGACCTTACAACTACGGCTTGTTTGTGGAAAAAAAATCAAAAAGATATGCAAGATAAGCTTTATGGCAATCGGATACTAGATGGTAGAGTGATGACGTCATCAAGAATAAAATACGTCATATATTTAGAATCGATTAAAAAGGACAAATAGAAATGAGTATAGTTTTCGAACTATTGAACCATTAAGTATGTCTATAAATATATCCCGTTTATTGTAAGCCTTGTAATAAAGTTTATTTCCGACACCAGGCGTCAAAGGTTGTATATGTATGGATTGAGAAAGGGTATCATGTTGACAAACTGATAAATACATACGGTTGGTTGGATCGGTCTACGTTAGAAGCAATTTTCTACATTCATATACGTAAAATAGGTGAAATTTGAATCCAATTTTAAGAAACCTTATACATAGATGTATACTGAGGAGATGATTGACGTCACAACAATGGTGATTTACATACAGACATACCAGATAACCCGTACCGACATAATGGAATGCCTTTGAAAATGAAAGATATGATGCGCAGGTCAATTTAAACTAAACGCGTGACGTTTTTAAAAACAATAACTCGTCTTTATGATTCACAATGTAATCGACCATCATTACCAAGGGACCTGGTATAAACAAGACTTCGCAATCTATACAAATCCCTTTACGGATGTACCTTGGGTGCTGACAAGCATTTTCTTGCAATAGTAATGGTAACGTTGACCCAACATCCCTGTGACCCCAGCTATTATGGTCCTCTATATAAATTTGAAGCTTGGTCGAAAAATCTTCAAGAATGAAACCACCAAAGTGCCGACAAAGATGTTCTAAAATGGTAATGGTGACCCTGACCTTACAACCCCGAATCTTAAATTTGTCCGAGATATAAAAGTCCTTTAGATGTGTTAAGATCTAGATCGCTAACTAGCTACAATTTTACAGGAAAAGGTGAATTGACCTTGACCTTAGAATCCTGAAATTTGAACCCTTATAAGAAAAAATGGTCCTTTAAAAGTGTGTGAAATTTAATTTTTAAAAAAATAAAGAAATTAAGCGTAAGAGTGGTAATAAGAATAAGTGCGGTTATGCACTCATGACCCTAACCCTCCGACACTTTTTAGTTACCCCCTCGCGACAAGAACGCGTTAAGTTCGTTTTTTTCACGACACACATTTCTGACGTTGTCGTTATTTACTGCTAATAATCAATTTTCGAGAGTACTTATCATAACGCGTCACTAACGACAAATCCCATGCGATATTTATCAGTAACAACACGCAACAGTCGTAATTTATTTTCAAAAGGATGAAATGATAAGTACACACTTACATAAGTACACACATACATATTCTACCATATTTATATGTGTAAGTAGAAGTAAGCAACTCATATAGGAACCTTCATTGTGAGTAGTACCTGTATGGCTACGGACTCATGTAAGACGTGTGCATGTGTGTTGCTCACTGCCTTCGAGATCAAGGTCAAATATCAAGGCTACAGCAAGGTCAAAGTACATGTTGGGTTAAACACACAAGTCTAGTCGTGTGTTTCTTTGTAGGGAAATTGCCTCTGAATAAGGAAATGAACGGTCCGTTGAAGTGGGGATAGGGGGAAAGCACGATTGCTCAGTTCAACTCCATAAACGTTCATAAGTAAGATGTATATCATTTTAAACCACTTGATTTCAAAGATTTCCTTGAATTAAGGACGTCGTTGACAAACCGGGGTCAACAGATCCAAATCGAAGGCGGCTGATAAAGCGGTATCTCACACAATCCAGGAAATGCTAAAAATCGTT